TAACTTTTGAGGGCTTATGATAACAGAAATAGATATGGTAAACTGTTATAATTTATACAAAGTTGAAAGTTTGAAAGCTAAGAGAGATACATTTACAAACAACAGACCCTGCACATCCTTGCAAAAAAGGGTCAATTACCACCATAACTTCTCCCAAACATTCATGCTTTTACAGGAAATCACTCATTTTTGTCACTAGGTGGTACTGTACATACAATAGTTCTACTGACACAAATGCATTTTTCTAAAGTTACCTCGTAGCGTATGACTATACAGGTCATGTGGATGGTTCTTGCATGAAGACTAACATTTCAATTACCTCAGCAAACTTTAATCATCAGAATTGTGAGCCAAGGTGTATTTACAAAGTGCTCAAGTTTCCAACTTAGTCACCTCATTGTTACCATGGAGTTCACTCCTTTTTGAGGTTATCCTCAGCTTGATCATCCTGTTACATATGAAAACATTAAATTTTACTCACATATTCAAATAATTACCAGAATGAAAAGTTATATTTTTTTAATAACCTGCTTCCTTTAATTGTGCTCCAGAAATAATAAATGGTATTGAAGAGAAAGGAAGAAAGTTCTTGAAACATTCTATGTTAAATGTTCAACTTTGTCATGAATGCTAATTGTGATGGCAATGAAAACATTTGTTAAGCGATAATAACAATTACCTTTCCAAGTAAACAAACTACAATGAAGCATGATATGAATAAATTTAATCTCTCCCTGTTTGAAAATCTAATTAAGGTACTGGTGAATGGGAAAAAGCTAAATGTGTTTTTCCTGCTTCTGTCATTCTAAATTCCGGTATCACAAAGCAATCATGCCACCACCTAAGTGTGATTTTTTTGATGTGTACTTTTTCTTATGGACATATAATTTTAGTATCTATCTTTTACCAGGTGACAAATGAGAAGAATCAAGTCCAGACTGGTAATTTGACACATTGCTGGAAAACCCTGCAACTGATTAAATTTCATTTGGTCAAAAACATGAAGGGCAATAGAGGAAGTTAGCAGGTAAGTTTTCCTTCAGTATTTGGTTATGTTTTTTTCTATCATATTATGGTAAAGTTTTGTAGTTTCTCTCATTTCACTGTCTTGTGTTCATTTGTTTGTGTCTAGTATCTAATTTCTCCTTTCAATATCATCCCTGGTTCAAACATTAAGGTCATGAGAATCATACATTCAAGCAGTACTCTACATATATGATTATATGATGTCTTTAACCCTTTACACCCTAACACCCTAAGTTCAGTATGCATATTTTCCATAAATCATTGAATCATTGATGCCACTAAGTGCAAGTGTCTAGTAAACATCATTCTATGGTCTTCTACTCTTCCACCTAGGAGGGTGCCTTGTGTACATAAAAATTGAAGTTCAGTGCCTTTAGTAGCTTTTTTGGCTACAAAGATCAACAAAGAACAACAGCCATACCAAAAAATATTTTTGAAAACACCTCTACAAATTGGCAGGTACACACAACTGACATGTTTGAGTGAAACATGTCAGGCATTGAAGTATGATTGTCAATTTGCTTGTCATTACTTGCAAACAGCTTAATATATCAGTTTTGAAAACTTCTGAATCCCCACTTTCAAAGAAAAACATTTCTCATGAAAATGTAAACATTAAAGACATAAGCTACCAGCAACAGGTTTTTCCATTGTTTCATAACATCAGATTCTCATCACATTTTTTGTCACTTTTTAAAGCATAAAAATATTTTAATCAATACAATATAATGAAATCCCCCATTTTAACCCTTTACGTCCCACTAGTGACCTAGACACAATTTCTCCTTACACTATCAACATGATATCACGCGACAAGTGATAAGAATAAAGAAAAATATCAATAAGGGGATTATTGGTTGATCCAATTCCAAATTCTCCAAACTTACATCACATAAATTGTATGGCAGACAGTAAGGAGAATTACTAATGAAATCTAAGGAGTTGAAGGGGTAAGACACGTATGGTTATCATATGTACTAGAAAGACAGCAAATAAATATAACATTATACACCAGTAAAGTGTTCCTATGTAGAATGAAGTTTCAAACTCATTGAAATTAAGTTGACTTCATGATTCAATTTTTATTAAAAGAAATGTTTAATATCTCTTTACAAGGATGAAAGGGGAATGCATTTATGAATTTTAAAAGATTAAAAGCCAAACACTTAGAGATGTAATTTTAAAAATTTACCACATTGTGGCATATCTATTCACTGAGATTTTAATCGCTAGCTGGCCCAGGGCAATAAAATGAAAGATTCAGGAGATGCATGTGACATCAACTGGTTTACTGATGTTCTCACCTGAATTCAATCTGGAAAGAGAACTCTGCGCACATCTGTTTTATCTTCTCACACTTGAATTAGAACATAAAATTTAATTATTTTCAGGCAGGTTAGGGAGTAAATTAAAGGAATGAATTTATATTACATATAAAGAAACCCCTTGCAATAAAAATAAAGCAGAAGCATAATTATTACCTACGTGTCTGTGCTTCTGAATACAGCTATATTGGGTAAGCAATTGTCTGCGCGTGTAAACCAGGTGCAATATACGGTCGTTAAAGCAATAATTTTATTCTAACCTTCCCCCTTGAAGGGTGCCTTGTGTATCAAATATATCAAGTTCAGTACAACTGCACGTTTAAATAGAAAACCTGTTTCAGGAAAAACGACGCATTCAAGGCAAATACGGCAATTGTGCAAGTCAAACCGTCAGAATAATCTAAATTTCCCTCCTGAAACGTATCTCTGTTCAAGATTGACATGTCAAATTTTAGGCTGAACATATGAATCCCAAGTAAAAGAGATCGTGCCAGAGAAAATGCGTTCTCGTTAAGTCATAAATTAATAATTATTACTTCACAGAAAGTGACCTCGAGGTATCCATTTTTTGCGTCGAAAATGCGGTTTCTTACGCAATTGGTAGATTTCCGAGGCGTGTTTATGAAAGCTCATTGTTGGAGCATGGGTTTACCTGTAGTTTCACAACCCACGCTGCGTCATTAGGTTTCTCACCTGGCTCGAAATTCATTCCTTCGCGTGCTTAAGTCGCTACGGTTATCCCTAATTGTCAAAGAGATTCTGTGGTCCCTCTTTGAGCTAACGAGAAAAACGTGTTTGGTTTCTGAAGCTTTCTTAGCTTAGGAGGTTAGTATACTACTAAAATGGCGAGAAGATCATGTGTCTTTCAAACACCTTTCAGTGTACAAACTGGAGGAATGACATTATGTTATTCTAGTTTATTCTATACCCTTTTATCTGATGCAGTTCAATTTAAACTCCGCGTATTTCGCTTTTTGGACGAACATATCGACATATTCCTGGTTATAAAGTCTCATGGAGAACCTTTTTCGCCAGTATAACTAAGAGGCCTCAAAAGTAGAAACATACTAAATATTAGTCTGCGTGGTTTTTTAAGTTGTAGATTTCTGAGGCAAGTATCTTTCTACTGAACTCAAGGGCGAATTCATAAAGGACACCTAAAATTAGTGATGTTGCGTGTGTGCACTTATCGAACGTGTTTAGACCAAGAGGCTTAAACAATTTTACTACTCATTGTATATGCTAGAGATGGGAAAATTCGTTCACAAAGCCGTTACGTAACTGGGTTTAGCGATTTTTTGTTCACAAAAAAGCGTTGAAAAACCTGTTCCTTCCCTATTTATAAGCCTCATCTGGTGAAAAACTCGATTTTTTGACAGCATATCCTGTAGCTTTACTAGCAATAGAGCCTGGAGCGTGTCAAAAAAAAAAATAAATATCGCAGTGTATTTGGTAACAAAGGCTGCGTGAGGGAGCTACCATTGCTTGTCGTTGTTTATTTATGCTCCAAACGTGCCTTTTACATACATTTTATATTGATTGAAAATGCTAACTGGCCTTGAAAGCGTTTGTTTTACGCAAAAGTGTTCCCATTTACGCGATTGCGGCTGGATGCGATTGTCATTGCGACTGATACAAAGGCACAAAATCATCACTGAGCAGTTTGATATCCAAGTGATTGCCATGATCTATGCTCAAATTTTCCGGCCGTCGAGGCGATTGTAGCGATCGCAACAATTATATGAAAACCAGAATCAATCGTTTGTGTCTTAGCAATCTGATCCTACGAGCGGAAATTGTTGCAAATTCGACTGATAACGCAATGCGCATTTTCAAATATGATTTTGGTTGATAAAACTTTGTATCCATTGTGACTCAGTACAACAGTCTCTTTAATGTTGCACGTGCGTGGCGTTTTCCTTTTTTTTATTGTCACACGCGTGTGTTGTTTACACTTTTTCAATAACTTGTCTAACGCGTAGCTGCTAGTTTAAGTTATTTAAGCTAGTTTTTCGTTCTAGCTGTTCAAGGAAATGAGTTTCCTTCATCATAAGTTCATTGAGGGTTTTCTTTTACGATCGAAAGCTTTCTTTGTAAGTAATGTTCAACGCGGGCTTTAGATATTTCGAGAAAGTTCTTTAATATCACGCAAGAGTACGGGTAGGTGTGGAGACATCCGAACATACAAAAGCTAGTTAATCTTGTTGACGAATTCAAATGACACAAGTTTTGTTTTGTTTTTTGTTTTTTGTTTTTTTTTAAGCTAGTTTAGAGGAAGTTTGGCTTAGTGCCGAAGATCAATTAAGCTAGTGACTAAAGCAGCGCCAAGTTTTCTTGGATCCAGTTAATAAAGCATCAGTTCTGAGAACGTGTTATACATTTGAGTAACGGGAGCAATAGTACGAACTATCAAAATATGTACAAGGACGAATAGTTTAGTCTCCTTCGGCATACATTTTAGCTTGAAATTTTCTATTCCTACAATTTTGTGTACTAGCTGAATCATGAGGACCCTGTATTGCCTTCAAGTGGCATATCTAGTGCTGATATTGCATCAGATATTCTCCAGTATGGCACTGAGTGGAGCTACCTGTCAAAAGTTCAAATTCGTTGTCGGTGAAGATGTTGTCTTCAACTACATTCTGGAAGATCACGTTTTTCAAAGAGTAACTGTCCTCAGTGCCACCCAATGTCACGTAAGGTGCAAAGATAACTGCTTGTGCGTATCCATGAATTACTTTTCCTCAGTCCAAAGAAAACAACTGCGAGCTTAATGACGCAAACAGAGAGATGGTGCCAGCGGCAATAAAATGGAGACCAGGAGGAAATTACTATGATTTGGTGAGAAGTTACACGGTGAAGGTGAGCTACGACATATCGTTATGATAGTAATCCTTTCTTTCTCTGAGGTTTTATTTTTGTTGTTGTTCCTTTTTAAATCCATTTGTGTAATTCAATTTTATTTTGTCCTAATAAAGCCTGCGGTTATCACTTAAATTCCCTTTAAAATTACAAAAAGAAAATAAAGATGAAATCTCAGGCGATTGCTTCCTTTGATGATAAGACCCAACCTGGTGGGTTTCTTTCAAGGAAAATGTCTGACACACAAAAAGTATCTATTGCTTTAGGGTGGAGACAAATACATTCCAGGAAAACATCACTGTGTAAACAGATGTTGCCACTCCAATCCTTGTCTGAATGGAGGGGTGTGTCAGGAGCTATGTGACACTTTCAGTCCCAGGTTTAACTGTACCTGTCCTGGCTCATATTCTGGTCAGCGATGCGAAAAGATAAAACGGCCAAGGAGTTGCAAGGACATTGCTAGCAACGGTGCCTTGATATCCGGGAAGTACGACATATTTAATTCTGCAAACGAATCTATTCCCGTTCATTGTGATTTGAAATCGGAAGTTGGCTTTAAATGGGCCTTGATCCAGTCGTTTTCCTTAGCTAACAAAGATACATTCAAGAGAGTAGATTTCGGCCGAGATTATTCCGTGAATGAAACTAAAAGTAAAATAGACTGGAATTCATACCTCCTGTCCTTATCTTGGATGCAGTCCCTCGCCGATCATTCGACACATCTGCGAACGACCTGTAACTTCGTCAAGGATGGTCTCCAGTACACGGATTACGCACGCGCTAAGCTGGTAGGTCAGGACATATTTGGTAGATGGGACTCAGTGTGCAGAATGTATGAGTACATAAATATCCGTGGAAATAACTGCTCCGATTGCACTGCGATGACGAAACAAAATTACAACGAACCTTGGACTATAAAGAGTCGCTCTAAGGACTGTACATTTGATGGATATTCAGGCTCAACACAAAACGAAAACAATTTTGGACGGTATCATGACTGGGGTGTAAACATCAATCACCGCTGCACATCTTCCCCTGCTTCAACTACGCAGCATTGGTTTGGAGCTAAACACAATTCATAACATTACTTTAGTTTGTAATGCAGGAGTTTGGTGAGTTAAGTGAAATAGGTGTTGATTGATCGTTTCATCTTTTTTTCGCCATAGTTTTTATAAGATAATCTGGGAATTGTATATTCTCCTTCTCTGAAATTATTATCAAGTTGGTTGGTTGGAACAGAATATCTTAAGTTTCAATTTCATGTGCAAAATTTTGTGTTTGCTTCTTATTCTCCCAATGAGACAATATGGTGGAACAGTAGAGACGTAGTGAATAGAGCGTTCGCCTCTCGTCCCTATATATAAGTATCCATTCCTGGACCTGCTGTCGTAACATTTAAGTCTAGTTTGCCTGCATCGTGTTTCTTAATGATCAATCTTGTAAAAAGAAAATTGTGTTCCCCTCGTTGCTGATCGGTCTTTACGAAACGTGTAGCATAATTCTTAAGTAACGCTTTCGATGACGTAACCTTAAATGTGGCAGTTGCAGTGTAAGTATGTAAGTAAAACTGTTTTTAAATTGATAGTTGATTATAATTCTGAAACATTAAACTTTGCATCGGATAAATTTTCATCTTGTTATTCTATGGCTTCTCATTAGATTGTTTTTTGTTTTGTTTTTTTTCCATAAACCCTTAATCCTCATACATTCACATCAGTGCGCATATTCGCTACACTGAGGTCGATACCTTTCGAATAGTAATGACAGGAGAATTGGTTTATGAATTACAAGTTGTGTCAGCTCGCAATCATTTCGTTGCGATCTTTCCTTAGTGTGCGAAGGAAAGCAGGGGATTAGTGAGGAGGACTTTGCCTGTTTTTTGCCGAATAAGTGATATATGTGAGAGTGATCATCTGATTAAGGAAGAAAATTTCTGAAATTGCTTCGCGTGGTTTCTAGCCACGTTTCCCGCAAGAGGGTTCGTTTCAAACGTTTAATGGTCTATCATAGGAGGGGATTCTCTCATCGTAAAGGAGGCTGAAATAGGCTTCACGCTAGGTATTTCGTTAGCCTACCAAGGTTATTCATTACTCGATTAAACTCAGTTATTACAAATTATTCCACGAGTCTGCGTTGGATATGAGATGATAGACAGCTAACGGGGCCTGTAGGGCTGAGTTGGCGTTAATCATGTCATATTCGAAAAGCGCGAGTGAATAATTTTTATTCAAAAAACTCCCTAAAATATAGATAAATCATCCCAAATTTAATTTGTCACGACAAACAGGATGTTTTGATGTATAAAAACGCTTCTGTTGTAACTCCTCTTCATGCGCGCGCATGGTATTGCGGCTCATAACTCATACTGGCTAACCCCCCAAATAATGACCCATAACCCCAAAATAAATTTCGAATTGCATTATCCAATGATCTAGCTTTTGATGAAAGCAGATGGTCCAGCTATCATTTAAGCTGACACAATACACATCTTTCCAAGGATTTCAAGTATTTGATAAGTACACTTTATTCAGATTCTTCGCCCCTTACTCTATCCAATTACAGAATCCAAAAAAAAAAAAATTAAGTTATCATTGAGTAAATACATCTTTGATGCAATGTCCTTACACTACCCCGTATTGTGTCTGTGATTCATTTTGCATAGCTGTTTCTTTTGTTGTTGTGCGTCACTTGAAGGGTAAGTTTAGCTCTTTTTGTAACATCTAAGGTTTGCTGCAAACGGTTTCCTCTATTCTTTTGTAACATGCATGATTGAAAAGCGAGCTAAATCGAAAGAATTCTATCACCAAAACGGTACTTATTATTTACCGCTTTGCTTGTTATCATCATTGCCGAACAACGACTTAATAAACTCCCCCATACCAAATGCCTCTTGCAGCCTCTCTTCATCCTCCTTTACATTGTGTAGGTTAAAATCTAAAATAGACACAAATATGTTTATCAGAAGAACTGCAAGGGCGATCATAAAACTAGCGGTAAAAAGGTTACCTAGCACTCTATTGACATCGTCAAGTTCAGCAACATGAGTAGTGTTACCCAGTGCTAACTCAAACTCTGAGGCAAATGAACGAATGAATGATGAAAATGAAAACACTGAATCACCAAAAACCAGGAAAGCAAACTGGCCATGTGCAATAAACAGTATTCCAAAGAGAAAGCTGAATGATAAAATGTCGTTTTTCGCAGTAATTACTGTCCAAGCCAGTATTTGTACATGCGGACTAAGGCGAATAAAATGGAGAATTTTGAATGTGGCAATAAACAAAGCAAATGCTAGGGCAACATTTTCCATGTCAGTCCAAAAAATGGCAAACTGGAAGCTCACCGTGAGAAAAGGATTCCTTCGCAATTCTTTTATACTATCATGCATAAACTTTGCCTTTAGGACATAAAACACAATTGCTAGCGAGGCATTCATAATTTGAGCGATGTCTATCCAGTTCCACATTTTTTTGAAAAATGCACATCCCTCGCGACATAGTCGGATTAAAAGAATAGAGATATACACTAACACTGCCAGCATAAACAACAATTGACACATTAGATAAAAGCTATTGGACGTAGACTGAAAATTGAACATTTTTATGGTGTCAATTTTTTCATAAGTAAGTCCAAATCCGAAAGGTAGAACCTCATAATAATAAGTAATAATGCTCATTAAGTCAGTATTTAAGTTCAAGACTTGAAATTCGAGAAGAATTGCCCTTGTTCTCCTGTCAATCCAATCCTTGTCTTTGACGCCTTCCATCATGCGGATAGCAGTCGGTTTGTCGTATCCTAAATCAAGAACGTATCCCCCACCGCCATATATGTGATGCTGGGCCCAGGATGGAAAGTTATTGAGCTCCTCTGCAGTTGAATATCGCCACGGTCTGGGACAAAGTTGTGATAGATTTTTCCATTTAATCTGTGAATCTGATAAATAAATCCAGTGGGGAAGATATAGACGAGTTGTATCTTCTTCTAGGGTCGAGTAGAAATCGTAGCACTTGTCAATAATCGTCTCAACCTCCTCGGCGGCTTGGCAAGAATCTTAATTGAAACAAAGGTCCATTAAGATAATATCTCAGTGGTACATACATAATAATTCTGGAAGGGGTTTGCGACGAGCTTACTGATAGGATCCAGTATCGCCGAGCACCCGCTTGGTTAATGAGGGGGCGAGGGCAAAAGGATAGAACCTTACCTTCCTTTATTCGAAGCTGCCGGAGTCGAGGCATTCCAATAAGCATGGAAACTTTATTACCAATGTATTCTGGCGTTTGCTCAACCTGACCATTGTACCACTCACCGGCATACGCGTCATTGACAAATTTACCTTGCATGTAAGTCCACATCTTTTCTCCTGTGTTGACCTAGAATTGTAACTCGACATTTTAAAAACAACCTCGATTAACAGTATAGTGCAAAGAAAACATTTCCTAAAAGCATCCTAGCAAGAGATCACTTTTTTCCGTTTTAATGACGCTATAGTACCAGCAAGGTGGAAAGTAGACAAAAACCTGATCAGAGAAAATTGATCTATTATCTAACCACTCAGCTCGTACACATACCTTGTAAAAAAAGGTGAATCCATCCCGAGTGCCTTTGGTCATTAGATATCTGTGGTGATCCTTGTCTCCATAGGCGACAATCATCAACAAAAGATAGAAAACCATAAATGCGACAAACTGACGAGCAAGTCCGAAGAACTTTTCCTTTCTTAATTCATAGGCGCGTAGCTCTTTCATCTCCTCGGTGAAAGACGATTTATATCTATCACCTTTCTTGGTGTTTAGTTTTGGTCTCTTGAAAATTAGAATCAATAAGACTGTAAAGGTGAGAACCTTCGCGGGTTGCCAAAAAAAGATGTCCTGGACACAGGAGGCAACTACGGAAGCCAGCCACATGTTGGAAGTTTGTTTGCCCCATTGAAGGCTGTAAAATACTGTTATGGTCGCGGATACAAATATCACCGATAAACAAAGAAACCAAGCGATGTATAAAAATGAATAAGGGAGACTACACCATCTTGATCTCGTTGCAGCAGTACGCTCTACGTTAAAGCTCTCTTCTATATCGCCAATGAGTCTCTGTTTTTGTCTTTTTATCTTTCGGTATCGAAAGGCTCCAGTTATTATTAGGCTTAGTGGGGCAATAATCAATGAACTCTTAATACCAATAATCAGCCGGCGTAATGACATCTGTAAAGGACCGATCTGAATTGACTCATCGGGAACTCTATTCACTTGATAAAACATGGCGTTACAAACCATTGCCAGACATAGTAAACCAAGGCAGCAAGAGGCTCTTTGGACGCGGGAGAATTGATTGCGTAGTGGTCTGGTTATCACAGAGGCCCATAAATGATGTTCTGCAAGGTCGACTGAAGAAACAGAATAAAACAGTGTTTTAAAACTGCGAGTCTCGTTGCCTGGATCAGCGGACTTTATTGTTGCTTTTAAAGATCCACTTCCCTTGTGCAAACAAAGCCAACTGTGGTGGAAGAAGTCCCATCTCTGATCATTATTTATATCGACAAGGTGAGCTTGATCTAGAAACCAGGAGGAGTTCTTTCCAGAGTTGTCGTGCCACAATTCTATCTTAACTACAACTCCGAGTGAATTTTCAAGATGGAAGACAAACTTTTCGATGTTGCCTCTTGCAAACATTTTTCTTCCTGGCGGTGAATTCGCGGTCAAATTCACAGACTCTAGAATGCCTTCAGTGCCGTAGATTTTAACGAACACATTGGAAGTAGTCCCAGCATTTCGCCAAACTCCCGTAACTACGGTGAACTCGTACATATACGTGCCATTTTCATTCGGTTTCACATGAACAGTTGGTCCCAGCTGCCAAGGAAACAACAAATCACGAAGTAAAGGAATGGGAGGTAGATAAGCACGTAGGCGGGTTACTTAAACAATATTCAACAACTCGAGGTCAATTAGTGAGAGAATTGTTTACTTGATCTCAAACTTTTTTTTTCGCCGTATCCGTTCCTTTATATACGAGAAAATGAAGCTTAAAAGCAGCAATCAGCACATATTCATTCATTACTTATCGCCTTGGAGTACAGAGGTGGGGGGGAGGAGGGAGTGGGGGCGACGGAGGACTTTGGTTGTGTCGCGGCAAACTTTTCCTGATCTTGCCTTAAGGCTCTGTATTATTCTTGTGATCTCAATGGCAAATAAGTGGCAGCAAGTGTTCTATGGTTTTCCCCTCCTTTTAATGATGAAAAAATAAAACAAACCTTTCTTTCGTCTTTCACATCAGCTCTCCTTGCCCATATAATCATCAAAACGAAGACGCCAAAAATAGAAGAGACAGTTGCAAGAACCACGTAATTTTCTGTTTCCTCGAGTCTAGTAAACTCGTTCAAAACTTTGTTGAAGTCGATAGGATTTGGTGCAAAGACGAAACCACCTCCAAAGCCTGTGAGATGATTACATCTACAATGAAGTAGATGATCATTTGTTTCATCTCCAACCTAAATTAGATAAAAGATGTAAAGATTTAGCTTATCATTTCATAAAATTTTATTGCCTTTGCTCAAAAGTATCGGTGAGGGGATTCTTATAGGAGAATTAATCAATAATCATACCATAAAAAACAAAACAAAAAAAAAAACTAAGCACGACTCTCATAAGATAGGTTAGAAGTTAAACGTGCAGTGAATAACTGTTTTATTGTGACACAGCATATAAAATTAATGGGGAATGAATGAACTTATTCTTTACTCTTCAACTGACCTTACAGCCATCTTTACTCCACTTGCCTTGGGTTAAAGCAAAATAGTAACAACTATATTTCCGAACTTTTATAGTATAGTTCTCATCGGTAAAAGGATTATAAATCAAAGTTTTATTGTACTCTATTCCTTTCACTGGAGGTGGCTTTGGCTCAACGCAGTCCCTTCTCTGTCTCCTTTTTCCGTTGCATGATCGTCTTGTTCGAGTGTGATTTAACTGGTCGTGACTACGTTCAACGTACAGAACCCCGACGTAATACAAACCAGTTTGTTTAAAATGTCCAGTGGACATGACCTGGTATGGACTTCTTAAGCATCTTGACAACCAATTGCCACTAACTCTGTCCCAACTGCACGACGAAAAGTCCGGTACGTTGGACATATGGCTGTAATTGTTAACGGTTGGGCGCTCCCCGAGTTTAACAAACACTGTCATTGAAAGACTCTCATTGACAGGTTGAACTTCAAGAATGATGGAATCGGAATTTTCTTCAAGTTCAACGATGTGGTATCTCATATTTTGTGGTCTGACAAAGTAGTTATTATCATATGAGCTGTTTCCAGGAGGATTTAGTGGTATTTTAATGTCAATGTCAACGTCTTCTCCACCAACAGGTAATACACCCTTATCGTTGGTAAACTCGAGACTAAGAACTTCTGACATGACTTTATGATAGCTTTCGTGCCAGCGGTATGGATTGAAACTTGTTTTTATCATCTGCAGGAAGAAATAGGGAAGATTTGCTAAAACACACGAACTTAAACTTAATTAAATATAACCGATTAATTAATTAGAATTTAAGATTTATATCGGAATGTCAACACTTTATTTTACTGTCTCTTTCAATAAGTTATCTCCCGTTGTTGCATGCTATACCTGATACTCAGCCCACTCCACACTTTCATTTGCAAAAGCGCGATTCATATTTCGAGGAAGACGAAAGCTGTCTTTTTCGGTCAAGTTCAAACTTCTTTCTTGAAGTCCACATGATGACTCCCGGCCAACTAAGATACTCATGCCCGGCACTCGTAACGTCTTTGGGGACTGAGAAACTGCTGATCTCACCGCCACAGTTGTAAGCAATGTTCTTGTTATGTCCATAGACTTTAAAACGTTATCTTTAGCCTAAAAAATATTCAAGAAAACAGACTGATATTCAGCAGTTCATTGACACCACCAAGGCTGGTTCGACCCCAACCCCCCCCCCCCCCCCTTCCCTTAAAAGCCCTTAAGAAAAAGCAACGTGGTCGATATCTGTGGAGAAAAGGTATAAACGAATGAGACTTTTAAGGACCAACAATGGGTGGGAAAGTTTAACGGTGTTTGGCTTACGGTTCGAATTATGACCATGATTAGCCGTTTGTAAGAAAAATAATTTTAGATAGAGGGCGCCTTTTTATGTTAAATAAGGTAACGCAATTTCAAAGAAGGTGAAGGGGCCTCAGTAGGGCTATATGACCTACTGATACAAAATTTGCGAGCTCAGTTGTATTGATCAAGTGGGTCATTACATGACTGTTTTAAAATTCTCTCTAGAAACCCTACCTTCAACTGTTCGGATGATAAGGTTTTGCCCTCTTTTCCAATAGCAGCCGCCTCTGCTGATACCATCATTAGCTCCACTGTTCCAAAGAACAAGTTGTATATCCCTTGAGAGATAATTCTTTCATCATCTGCATTCTTCTCTTTAGCTTTGGAAAGCAACAGAGCAGCAATACTCTCTAGTGTGTTGGGAAGCAGATCCTTGAAAAAATGATGTTTAATTATTTTATGTGCAGGTTGTTTGTTTCTGAAACTTAACTTACAACCATATCCATGTACATTAATTAACCTCAATCATTATTTATAGTTGAGCTGTTTGTGATACCAAAATACTGATTTCAATTATTGATGCAAGGGTAAGTAACAGTGTACTCTTGAGGCTGGCCAATCTCGCCAATTGGCTCGTCTACTTGCCCCTGTTCTGTTTTGATAGCTTGGAACAGCTTGAATGTCACTCGATTCTCCCCTCACTTTCCACATATGCCCTCGAAAATTACTGTTCCTGCATTTGGAAACTGTATTTACTCTTCGTGTGAAAACACTAGATGTATTTAGTGCTTTGCTATATATTTAGACTTTCCCTTAAACAGTCATATCGCAAAAACATGCTGTTGTATTCGGTGCGCGGGCAACAACTGCACAATTGTCTTCCGGTCGGTATACATTTGAAATTGATCAGGGGAACATAACCAAGAATCAACCAATCACAGTGCTCGTTTTGTTAAGTGAGAGTCTAGGTATATAACAAAATCTTTTAATCATGGGTATGTCATGGTATCACTGATGAACCGGCCTTCACTTACTTTGCTAGGATTGCAATGGGTGTTGTGTCTTGCCTTAAGCGATAAAACAGAAGCTAATATCTAGTTGATCTTGATCTTTCAATCCGAAACTGGATGCACTGATCATTGGGTCATACGTCCTATCCAGAGAAAATTTATCAATGTAGAAATTCACAAATCCCAAAATTACCTTAGAGAGAAGGGATAACTCAGTCACTTTCTTTCCGGCGGAGGCTACAAAGGCGGACAAAAACACCGCACTTGATAAATCAACCTCTGTAAGCTGGAATCTCTTTAGGGCAATGTCTCTCAACTTCGAAAATAAGGAAACAAAACAAAAGTGAATATTGGACTACACAGACATCTTATTAGCCCCAAATTCTTGACACTTACGGCACTTTTCAGTTGACTGGGTGTCGCTGAGCTGGAGAAATTTCTTGTTTCAAATTCTTGTTTCTCTAAAGTTAAAAGCATGGCTGTCATCAGCTGCCAAGCCTTCTGTGTTCCTTCTTCGAAAATGAAATCCTCGAAAAAAGCTGACGATTTTTCAAGAAGTTCAAAAAAGTCTTGTTGCACTCGTAGTTGGGGTGGAGTTACCTGCAAAAAATGTTGGTGGTTTAAAACTATAAAATTGAAAAATACTAAAGAATTAATAAATAGGTCCCGGCAGAGGCTATAAATATAAAACCCATTTGACGTAAATCACAACAGAGAGGTCACAATCACAGTAGTAGATACGATTGAAGTTTTAACAAAGGTAAAAAAATTAAGAAGTGGGTGTCGTTGGGAGCATCAATCGGTCTGATATACCTATTTTAGTTCCCTCACAATAAAGAGCAAATAACTAAGAAAGCTTGTTGATTTCAGAAATTGACGGAGATAAGAAAAATGTATTATTTGTTTATACCTTTACTGTGATATCCACCTCAGACGTAGCACCATTGCTTCTTGACACGAATACCTTGATCTTGGATACATATCCACGCGAGGAATTTCCTTGCGGTAAAACGAAATGTTGACTCGCGTTGAGGCCATAGTACAAAGTAAGGTGAATGTTTTCTTCTCCGATAACTTGCACCTCATAAGTTAATACTTCATCAAGAACGAACCAATCAAAGCATTGCAGCTGAAATACGGTATAAACGGCTTCACCAGTCTCTGGGGTTATAACGCATGAACCTTTCTGTGGGAGGACAGCAGTCCTGAAAACTTGTGCGGTTTTAGAGGGGGCTTCATCTTTGAGTTTCAAAGTTAATTCCAATCGATATTTCGTATCGTTTTTTAGCATCTCTGGATCAACTGAGAACACCTGGGACCTCTCAGGGGTGTGATAAATTTGAATCCAAGTCAAGTTTTCGTCTTCTTGGTAGAGGAACCACTCAAACTGCGCTCGATCAACACAAGAATAGCTCAGGTAATCGGCTGAGATGGTCAGGGGTGCTGACGGATTGACGTTTAATCGATCGCCCATTACGAAACTGCCAAAAAAAGATTCAATGGCAAAGTCAAACGTATGGGATTACTTAGAGAACATTACAAAAAAAAAAAAAAAAAGAAAAACAAACAAACAAACTTAAACAAACCCAAATGCAAGATAGTATTAAGAGAGTATTGAACACGTGATATTCCAGACTGTTATTCAAGTTGAATTGACGTAATCATCCATTACAAGCTTGTTCCTCGCTTCGTAAATCTTCTAAGTAAACATCATTTAACGAAAAACAGTTTGACTCGATATACTTACACAAATGACACTGCAGGAGGACTTCCTTCGACCACATGGATTGTTTTTGAGTCGCTCGACAATCTGGCATCTTTCATAACAATAAGTTTAAAAATGTATGATGCACTTGTATTCTCCATCGTGGAAGCATTTAAAGTAATAACAGGTTCTGTGATGGCCAGTCTCCCAATTCCTGTGCCAAAACAGCCTCCTAGTGACTTACCAGATTGGTTAGAAAGAATGGGCACAATTTGAATGTCATTAGGATTCCTAGTTGGGAATTCCTCATCTGATCTCTTACAAAGCCAGAAAAATGTTAGTGAGTCTAGAGATCCATGGCCAACATGAGGATCATATGAGTCGGATCCATTGAGGGTAATGATTTGCTCGTTTCCTCTTGTGACTTCAGTTTCACCAGATATCGTTGCGACCAGCTGTGAAGGACGTATAATGATATAACCCCTATCAAACACACTGTGTGTCAAATTATTGCTCCCTTGGAGAACGGTAAAAGAGAAGAACAAAGCATACACCACGTGGGCATATTGCAAATGGTGGTCAGTGAGGGTCCATGTGTTTCTTTCGGTGGAAACTACACTGCCATTCAATAGAGCGTCAGAGTTGTTTAAGGATGGATCTGCTAAAATCCAAGACATGTTCTGAGTCCATATCTTTGCGCATCTTACAGCAATGTTTGCGGTAAACGTGTGATATGAGCTGAGCTGAACCTCGGTGGGTTGATCAATAGAGCGTCCCACATCGTTAATACTTACTCGTGGAGTATCGCACAATGTGTTACCTAACATGGCGTGGAAATGATCATCACCTTAGAATTGTGGTTTAACACCCTTTGTCTGCACATCTGGCTCTGTTATATTGTGTATTAAGAAGTTGAACTGGAAGCAATTTTCGTTCAATCTACAGTTTGCTAACATATATGTGTACATATATATATATAATTTATGGCAAACCTTTTGGAAGGTTCATTTAAATGAAGGATTTGGGTCACAAAAGGTTCGAATGTTTGCACGCGCACATTAGAAGCATTAACGTAAAATATAAGCGTAAATTTTGCCCATAGCTCTTTAGAGACCGTTCATTATGTATCGCTTAAGGAGGTGAGGGTTGGGGTGGAGTATTTTGCTCGTGACGCAGTAAAATATTCCTGATGCCTAGTAAAGCTTAGTTATGTTCTCATGAACCCCCTGCCGCTCCGCGGACTATAGCTAATCGGCAGTCAAATTTCTAAAGTCAACTCCCTTATACTCAGTTGATGATCCCCCTCAATTCCCCCTCGGAAAATCATGTGACCTCCTCCGGTTCCTGCCCCCTCTCCCTGCAGGAGTTAAATAGTCTTTCATACCATACGTATCTTCAGAAAATTACCACGCGCATTGTTTGTTAACCCATCAATTAAGAATTGTTTGTAACATACGGTTTGACGTACCAAAACAGAGATGAGATTCAACTTCGGAGCAATGACAATCGTAAGATCCATCCAAATTCGTACAGTTGGCAGCGTCAGCGCAACGTTCGGGGTCTTTACATTCGTCCACGTCTGTTATTAGGCCAGAGTAAAATATATATGAATTAAAAACCTTATAAATAAATGAGTATGTAAAAAAACTTAAATAATCAAATTAGTCAGAGGATTACCCTTCACTGACAAAAGTAGAACTGATTAGTTACTGACCAAGGTTGATAAAAAAAATGAAATTAAACTGGAGGCTTGCTATTATCTAAAGGTCGGTTGGCGATGCATTTAAAGCAGGGTGGCAGACCTTTTCTAAGGAAGCGTATTGACTTAGGAATTTGGCAGTAATCACACATTCGCTCTAGACCCTACAAAACAATTTTAAACTTCATGACACTTTTCCGCCTGGTTAGTTTGAGAGATGCTGATAGTATTAATATTTTGAATTATAAAAGTAAATATTTCCGTCTGGAGACATTAACTCTAAATAGTATGTACTGGATCTTTCATAACACAGACGCTATTTGACATAGTGTTAAGCGTCGATTTTTAGTTTAGCATGAGGATATTTTTACCAATGCAGGTACTTTCATTCCAAGCATAGTTTTCCTTGAGACAGGAACAATTGTAAGATCCTTGAGTATTGATACATTCTGACACAGAGACATCGCAGTTATCAATTTTCTGAGCACATTCATCGATATCTGTTGGTTATATAGGAGATTGTCAGTCATTTAAACTCTGGCTCCATGTGAATAACAAGGTGGGTATAATCCTGTTTATTACAGTCAATCCTGGTTTATTCAACACCACAAGGAATAAATCGTAAAGATAACGCGTGTCTTTCGAGCGTCCGCTCAAACACAGAAGGGCAGGAGCATAAAACTTAGACAAATTCTTGTTCAACACTAAGACTTTGTTTAAAAGCTTGGCGTTACTATAGAAATAGAAGATTAATAATAATGTAATTGGAGGATCATGATATTTTTAATGTAGAGTTTGTTCCTTGTACGATGAGAGACCATCTTTTTTTTGCCAAAAAAAATGAATGCAATGTTAAGAAAATTGTAACAGTAAATGAACTTAGATAGCCTTAAACATACCGACACAAATACTGCCATTATAACTGTATCCGGAATGTTTGCATGAACAGTTATAGGAGCCAGGGATGTTGACACAATAGGCGGAGATGTGGCAGTCATGCGTTCCATCGGTACATTCATTTATGTCTAAGTAAAATATACAATTTTGGGTATCAGTTTCACTCAAACAATAATAACCAAATCCTGAAAAGGATCAAGCCAAAACAATTAGAGGGCATTTCCCCTAATTTGGTGACATAACGTAACACTTTGGCTCTGCACGGGCCAGAGATCGCAGAGCCTACAATTGATCATGATATTTGTTCCTTGTATGCTGAGAGACCATCTTGTTTTTCAAAAAACATACAATCTTCAGAAAATTATAACAGTAAAAGAACATAGATAGCTATACACATAACGACGCAAATACTGCCATTATAACTGTATCCGGGATATTTGCATAAACAGTTATAGGAAACAGGAGCCATGCGTTCTCTTAAATACCTTTTATAGATCCTTTCAGTTTTTGTTTTTTACTTATACATATATTTTTTTCTCATCTCGATACTCACCTTCACAGTTGAGAGAGATACCTAAGTATCCATATAACTGTAACTGCCGTGAAAAGAATAATTACTACCGGTATTGACGCGTAAATCACGTAAGCTTTGATATCATGACATATGCGGTTGCGTGAATTTTTTTGCCCTTTCATTAACATTTCAGTCACCGAAGTCGAAGGAACTGATTGCTTAGCCCGCTGAACGGCGGAATCTGTACAACAAACCTTCACAATTAAGCGGATCACCAAGGTAACCAGGGCTACAAACGCACGATGTGTTATTTGTAGCGTTGAAGCAATAGGCTGGAAACTGACAATTGGAGAGATTAGGGTCGACACTGCAAAACGTGATCCCTTGAGTCTGAACTACAATCAATAGAATAATTAATTAGGATTTAAAACACATCATCGCAATATCTATCATAAACTTCCGTTGCTTCTGAGGTTGCATGTTTCACATCAGAGAATTATAGAAGAAAAAGAGTCGCAAGTTAGCGATAGTTTCGATAGGTATTCATTGGGCTTCGAAATACTCGTTTTCAAAGAAAGAAAATCAGAACAGAAAAAAAGCCGTGTCAAAGATTATCCACATTATTGTTCAGTAAGATAATTGAAAAGCTTTATTTATTCAATAACATCAATTGACCATAAAATGAATTTTAGGTCCCCATCCCCCTTCAAGAACAAAGAAACAAAACACTGATAAAACAGAACGGAAAAAAACCAGCAATTGGATGGAGGAGATTGAACTTAATTCTAAGGCAGAATCAGGAAGAAACAAATAACTGCTTAACTTACGAGCATTTACACAAGATGTCTTTGATATTATGTCAGCGTTTGCCACCAAGTCGTTGAATTCCGTCATACGAAAGATATCTTCTTCTCGTTCAGTCACTGTCCTCATCTCTCTCATATTGATATTTTGACCGATAGTAACGGCAATAATTCTGGCTGATTTTAATCGAAGACGCTCTGCTGTAACCTCTATTGGAATGTAGGCCGGACTCATTGAATTGAAACGAGTTTGTATTCCATCAGTTAACAAGATAATTAGTTTCTGAGTCTCATCCGTGTTTTTTCCTGAAAAGTATTCATCGTACGCCAGCCGAAGGGCGAGATCAATACGCGTCGAACTTGCATCATAAGGGATATCATCTACAGCCAATGCGAAGGATAAAGGTGTTGTCTCTGAACCCATTGGAATTACGTTCGAGGCTGCCGTACTGAATACTATAACAGCAGCTTTATTCACGGTCTCTACATCGTATCTGCTGACAACGATCTTTATGAATTCCTTCTCTTTGATGTAGTTACTAGCCTCAACGCTCCCTGATGCGTCCAGTAAAAATATAAGGTCCAGTGGTGCTTTGCATTTTTCTGGCCCTAAAATAAGGAAACAAAATTGTTTTCTTTCAAATTATTTGCTTTTTTAAAAATGAAAAAAAAATGTAACAAATAATTATCACGTGTTTTTACCGTGGACTTAGAATGGTCGAGGGTTCTCAACCTGGCCGAAGGTATCACATAGAAGGTCCTTGGTGGAGCACTCATAGTGGTTCTTGTAAATCAAGGAAATTCATCATAACATTCCAATAAGCTACATTTTTCATATGATCTATCAGGCTGCATCGGTATTATATTGACTTTATAAAAATCTCTGATTTCATGCAAACGCAAATTACCGTTGTAGATACCTAAGCAGACTGTTCCATTGCCATTGTATCCAGACACACAAGTGCAATTGTAAGAACCTCTATAATTATTGCAATATGCATCTTTGTGGCAAGCAGTAGGAAATTCACATTCGTTGATATCTGTTAGAAAGAAACGTTTAATGAAAGGTTATTAATGAGAATATTTCTTGAGCTACATCATAAAAAATATAAATGAATTGATGGATTAGGATTGTCCTCTATTTTTTTATCGAGAAGCTCATTCACATTAGAGGGACGAAAGAGCTAAACCACACAAAACTTATCAAAACAAATACAGTAACAGGGAAGTAAAAAAAAAGTACAAAACAAACCTAAGGTATTTTTCATTTCTCACCCTTTCTCTCGCATATTTTTCTAGCTTTATACTGATGATGTCCACACATAACTCGAAATGTCGTTCGGCAATACCATTAATTCTACTGTAAATAAACGATGCTTTTCATTACCTTCGCACGTTTGTCCATCACCACTAAATCCACTTTTACAGTTACAATTAAACCCTTCAGGTAAATCAACACAGTCTGCGTTCTTATGACAATTATGAGTCTGTTCATTACATTCGTCGGCACCTGCGTGAAAATGAAGAAGTTTGAAATTAAATGTGAAATTTAACGAAATCACAACTATAAGGAGGGACTCTTCGTTCACTTTCTGTAAGGCAAACCGAAATCTGAGGTGTTGGTTTGCATTTGTGGATAATCGGATAACTTGGCAAAATTCTTTGGTAGGATGGACGAGAACTAGAAAAAGACTTCACATACTTTTGTGACCCGTGGTCTGGGAATTGAGGCCGGGTAACCGCATAGAAGGCGAGTATCATCTCCTTACTATGCGTGAAGCTCACTTAATTTCCCCAAAGTGAGACTTATAGATGCAACGTGAGCTGCTCTCGGCCTCTGTGTGAATTATTTTGCTTACGTGCGCGACTCTTCTGTCACGAAGATTATGAAACATCTTTGTCAGTCTTTACATTATTATCTTATACAATTAAAAATTAACATGAAACATACCAAAGGGCATTTGTGAGACATTTCTGTAAGGCTGTTGTTTTAGGGCGTGTAATTTAAGCCTAATCACGCAACAAAATCTTTAATTAACCATTTTAGGCTTTTTTGGATATTTTTATTTCCAAAGGAAAAATTCGGTAACCTCAAATACATAGAGCTCATGTAAGAAGTATTACTGCCACAGTTCGGATAGTAAAAGTATCAACAAATAAAATAAATTTATTCGCCCCCAAATAAATAACAATCACGTCTTCCACATAATCTTATATCGAATATTTCGCTACTTTTGGGAGACGAAAAGGGGATATCGTCGAGCTGTAGTGATATGCCGTCTTGCCTAAACGATATATCGCTTACGACAAACGATAATTCGCGAGGAGCTCAACGATATGTCGGCGATAAATCGATCTGTTAGATCGATGGCTCCGCAATATATCGCCGATGTATTGCGATTCTCGCGATTATCGGTGATTATTGTTTGCCTTCCTTATATATATAATGGTTGCACTAATATCGCCAGATTATCCACCCACCCAGAAGAAGGATTAGAGACCTTAAGCAGTCAGGACGGCAACGCCAAGGAAGACTTCGATTAAAAAATGAATTTCTGCCTTTAATTAGAATTTCAAAAATGGTTGCATCTGTTTACCGTCTCATACGGCGCCACACCTCAACTTCAGAATAACGTATAAAAGAGGCGTTGAGTTCCAAATGGAAATTAAAATAATTTGCCGTCGCGGTTTCGGTTCTCAGACGACGCAAATTGTGATGATTTCACGTTGTTGTTTTGCATGGGACGGCTAAGAAATGTACAAAGTTTTAAACTAGCCAATTAAATATTTTGTTTTCCTATGTCCTCGTTACCGTCGCCCTCGTGGTTTGCTTCAGGTGCCTAATGTTTTTTCACGGCAGAGGGAATTTTAATGGCTATCTATGACCGATATTTTCCCACATTTCTTTTTTCAAAGCAAATGTAAAAAAGACGTATTTTGCTAATAAAAGGAAACTAAGATTAAAAAACAAAAACACGGCAAATAAAAACAAAGAAAGAATCTGAATTCTTTGGCGACATGAAAAACAATTTCTGAGTCACATTTCATTACGTAATACGTTGTTCTTTGTAAGTTTACTTTCTCCCTATCTAATCATAGATCGATTCAAGTGGTGAATACTTAATCTTTCATAGTAAATTGTTACGTTTTCAGTGCCTCTGTTGTCGTCCTGTACTGGCCAGCTAACTTAGGGACTACGCAAGTACGATAACACGATTAAACTTAATGGATCCGTGCATAATTTTGATCAAGAAGAAAATCGAGAGTTGTTCTCTCACAACTCTGTCATCGGATTGAGAAATTGTCATCACTGCGTCAAAGTGATAAAAAAATATCTTCAGACTCATCGAAGATGGCTTGAATCGTGTTTTACAGGGAAATTGTTTAGTGACATGGGATCTTAGCGAAAACTTACTCACCTTGGATCGAGTTACGGAGCTGCAGCCAAACTAAACCTAGTAAAACAAGCTGGATAAGAAAAGAAATCGAAAATGTCATTTTTCTTCCAGAAGTAAATTATAGACTTGTGGAGGTAAAAATAATAAGACCTACATGCATTTTGTATAAGTCAATCATTGAGTTCTTTAAGTGTATATTACCTTTCGTATCGGGGAAGCCATCGTCCATACGTTAGTATGCTGTACGCAACCTGTTGTATTTTGTTAAGTGAGGTGGGCACAGTAAACAAATCAAACGTTGGCTCAAAATATTGTTAGAAGTCTTTAAAGTGGGTATTTAACTTAAGTACAGGATTCGACATTGCTTCTTCTCTTCTTAATTTTTGAGAACTGCTCTGCAGTTGTCTAGGTTACTTAAGTCTAACGTTTGAAACGTGCTTTTAATAATTAATCATACAAAAAGAAGTTTTTCGTCATGTCACGAGCGTGGGACAAATAAAAAGTCCTCATGGGGAATAATTTTCATGATTTTTTCTTCATTCCACGCTCGTGAAAAGACGAAAAACATCCTTCTCTACTCATTTCCCGAGCTCAAAACTAAAGATCTATTTTATTCTATTTACAAATAATTAATAATTTTCACCGATCTTTTTTATCATTCATTTTTTTGTAATGCTTCATCTAGTTTCTACATCCGCTCCACCTGCTCTTGAGTAACGTCATATTGCTAGTTAATACATGTATTACAATCTGTCAGCCCGTTAGCCCATTAAGTCGTTTGTTTAGGACTAGTCTCTTGAAACTTGGAACATGTTTCTCTAAGATCAGAGTATATCTTGAAGAGGGGTTACTTTCACCCCTAACGGTGAAGATTTTAGTGATTACAAAGCACTGTTAGAAGTCTATTGCGAAACTCAAGATCAAAACGCCATAGAATACAATAGATATTTGCGTGGGTTTATTTTCCATCCATTTGTCTCAATTATGAGATAATTCTAAAACGAGGGTCGGTTAAGATAACAAGCTTGTTATCCAAATAAAATATTGCTGATTAAGCGGTCTATGTGAACTCTAACGCCGCAGACTGTTACTGAATTTTCAACTTAAGGCGATTTTTAGCGATCAAAGCGAAATTAATGGAAAGCCATACGTATGTAAATTTCTAGATGATAAAAACCTTCTTAATAAACGATTGGCACTAAAGTATGTATATAGGCTGAATGCATGGGTATTTCCATGAAATGGACGTTTTTTCTGCTTTAAAACTCTCCCTTGGGTACTGAGAATCTTCCAGCTTAAGTTTTGATTTCTTATTTCAATTGATAATGATAATAATTATTATAAAAGGATTAATAATAGGTATAATAATAATAATCACAATAATAATGATGATGATGATAACACAAAAGAGAGGGAGAGTTATTAATTTTCCCGCAGATGAAATGTTTCTAGAATTCACCTCCGACCCGGTATGTAGTCATGATTACAGCTTTCCGAAGACGATTTCATGTCTTTTCCCGTCATCATTCATTTGATGAGCCACATGCGGGCTATCTCGAATAAAGAAGAGGATTTTTCAAAGTAAAATTGTATTGTTGACTGATTTCAGCGTGAGCTCTGTGCACAACGGGGAGAAATATATTTTATTCACACCGCTGGCTGCCAAAACCAGTTTTCATCACGTACTGCAGCAATTTGAAAGTTTTGCGGATCAATATCAGTATCTGGGCCGAAGGCACTATGTAACAGAGCCATTTAAATTTACGACAAAACGGCTTATATAAAACAGTACTAGTAAACAACCCTTATGTAATTAAGGTAAAATGAATGGCCTTATCCAATAAATGTTTTTAAAATGTACGACCTTAAAGTTTGTAAAAAGCGCCCGTTTAATGTTCGTAAACTGCGGCTGTTAAATGTTGGTAAAATTCGGCTGTTAAATGCTCGTAAAATGCGACTGTAAAATGTTCGTAAAATGCAACTGTTAAATGTTCGTGAAATGCGACTGTTAAATGTTCGTAAATGTGACTATTAAATGTTTGTAAAATGCGACTGTTAAATGTTTGTAAAATGCGACTCTTAAATGTTCGTAAAAATACGTTAAATGTTCGTAAAAATACCTGAAATGTCCATAAAATGCGACCGTTAAATGTTCGTAAAATGCAGCTGTGAAATGTTCGTAAAAATACGCTCGTTAAATATTTGTAAAATGCGACGGTTAAAAGTGCGTAAAATGCGACTAAATGTCGGTAAAACGCGACCGTTAAATGTTCGTAAAATGCGACAGTTAAATGTTTGTAAAACGAGAATCACTTCGTGAATTTTACCGGGGCCACTTTTGCCTTGGTAACCCACGTTTAGACTAGCATGCATTGTTTACATCACCAAGTTTGTCGCGCGATATGAAAGTCTATTTTATCACAAATATTCTTTTGAGAAAAAAATTGTAATTCCGGAAGACTTGTTCCAATAGCACACGGTGCCCGCGTTTTTAAAAACTTTAGACGTAGTATAATCAATATGACTTTGGTTTTTTCTGTTTTTACGGGCAATTTTGGTGGATTTTCAAAGTTTTTGAAAGCGATTTAATCGGTTGCTATGGAAACTGTATTGTCTACACTTCATTTTCTGTTTTAGAAGACTGGTGACTAGTTTTGGGAATACACGAGACACTTTAAGGATACATACACAACCTTGTTTTGGTAAATTTCGTAGTGTTAAACGAAACAAAAGGAGATTTGTTAATATTCAATACACGAAGAAGGAAAGCGCAGCGACAAAATCGTTCTAGATCGAGAAAAAGCAAGCAAAAGTAGCGGAGAATCAGAGTGTGACGAAGGCCACGTGGAAACCGCCGAACACCAAAATACTGAGAAACGCTTGCCAGCTTCTGTTCGCAGACTCAAGGAATAGTACAGTGATTCTTCTGAAAACTGCACTAGCGAGGAGGAAATTGATTCAGGAGTACCAGAAGGACTCCGTTTTAATATCGACGTGCTTTACACTTTAGTTTCATTATGACGTGATAAAGCCGACTACTTAAAGACAACAAAGAAGTTTTCTTGGGCACAGTCACTTTAATTAAATAAAATATATTTGGATCGTGTTTATC